ATAAATAAAGTTTTTATTATTATTATTTGTATTATTATAGACCAGCATTATAACAGAGACGACCATAAAACTGACACCAAGACACCTAGAACTGCAAACTATGTCAATTATTACTCTTTGTAATAATAAAGATTTTATATTTTTCAAACTTTTCCAAAGCCCTGAAGTTATTTGATATGTGTGTGACATCATTGCGGGACCAGCAGGGGAAACATTAAAGCACCTGTGTGCACAACACAGAAGCAAACCCTGAAGCCAGGAAACTTTTTTGCATTATTTATACACATATGCACATGCACTATGCGCCAGATAAGAGATTTTCCTTACACATCCATGCCTTTTTTTCATCTATTTTGTACATGCTCTGCTCCTCAGTCGGTTTGCCCTCTGGAGGCTATGCACTCATCGCCCAATGGGTGAGTAGCATGCTCTCCCTATTAAAACCTCAGTGCATGTTTTGTTTGTCGCCCTTTGTTACTCAGCCCCTTTAAGAACAGATCCTACACTAAAATTCACCAGTGGGTGTTGCAGAAAAAGTTTTGGCTGGCATATCTTCCTCAAAGCTGTGTTCCTCCTGACGACAATGATTCCTGTTTGCTCTGGGTCAGAGGCATCAGTTTGAGGCTGACTCGTGCCTTAAACTCCCCCGGGAGGAGGCTGCGCTTCACCAAGTCAGTCAGCTCCCTCCAAGTTAGCCTGCTTTGGATGGAAGGACGGCTCGGCCCAAGACGTTGGTCGGTGTTGACAAGGAGGATGACCATCGCGTCTGCGAAGAAGAACATTAACTTAGTTAGCTGGAAGACCTTGCAGCACCTGTCAGTAATAGCTATGGCATCGAAGAGTCATGGTGCCAGGTGGTACCCAGGCCTGGTCTGAATAGTGGTGGCAGGACTGAGGTCTGTGGCTGACACTCGATCTTCCGTCCTATCCTGGGACACCGCTTCATGGTCTGGAGGTGAGACTGAAAAGTCAAAGCCTCCCAGATGCAGTTGTTGTTTAACAATTAAATGCCCCATCCACCTCCATGGCCTACTCATCTCTTTGGTAGGCACTGGTGCATCCTGGATTTCCTGCAGGACCTGTTTGAGAATGGTTACGGTTAACGGTTATCAGTGACAACAGGGTGGAACTGCTTTTAAATCTGTCTTTTCAGTTGTTAACCATTTCTTCCTTCAAGACAACTTATGTTAAGATGAAGGTTTTTTTACCTCCTCTCTACACCAACAGCATGTACACACCTTGTGTCCCCTGCGTGCACTTCCCTGGCATTTGTAGCACATGGTGGTTCTCAGGAGGTCCTGGTTCTTCATCTGGTGGTCGGTCCCCAGGAGAACCTCTGTCTATGCAGCGGCTTGCTCACTGGATCTGTAAGGCAGTCAGCAGGGGCTATGAGGCAATGCACTTTTCAGGGGTGTCTCAGTGGAGGACATATGTGTGGCAGCCACCTCGTCCTCCATCTCCACCTTTGTGCTGTCCTATCTCAGGGACAAGACTGCTGACTTTGTTTCCCCTTCAATGCTTGGTGCTCGTCTTGAGCAGATTAGAGTCTTGTAGATGTTCAGATGGCCAGTACTCAGCTGGCAGACTGCTGTTGTTTCTTTTCTTTTCTTTTGTTCTGTTTCTTTTGGCAGGGCTCAGACCTTTTCGGGCTCAACAGAGAGTACATCTCACCCCTACAGCCTTCACCTAGGTTTTAACCAATAGCGCAGCCTGTTAAGAGGATGGAGCATGTATGAAACAGAAATAGTAGTTACCAGGATGTATCTCCAGTTCAATGAGTACATGCATAACCCTCTAACCAGCTGGTCCAGTTGTTGGTGAGTTTCAAAGGGAGACGAGCAACACATGCGCTGGGGTTTAATAGGGGGAGGAGGGTACTGCCCCCTACAGGTTCAGAGGCCCAATGATTAAGCCCATGAGAGGGGTGCGCACATACTCATAGAACTGGAGTTATATCCAGATAACTATTTGAGTGGTGTTTGACAACATAGTGTACAACATTTGCTTGATACAGGACCATTGAGTATGCAGTATAAACTGTACATCAGTATGACGATGCTGCAGTTCGGCTACTGCAGAAACTCAAAGAAAGAAATAATCATTTTAAAAAATCATACACCAACAAAACTTTATTTTTTATCACTTTGACTTTTGTAAAGCCAGTAATAAATACTATTAAACTGATTTCTTCCCCACACACTGTGATTCTCATATGGTAGAACACTGAGGCTTATTGTTCTGCTTAGCTTACTACAAGGCCTATAATTTGTAAAAGTAACACACTTTTTGGTGAAAGGAAACTTGTAAATATAGATGAGTAAATACATCCCCAGAAGGAAGAAACACAACTGTTGCATCCCAATTGGAGCAGTGGGTGAAATGCAGAGTGGGAGTAAAATATTTTTTTAGTCATTAAGGATGATTCATTATGAATGAAGCATATCATGTGCATGTACCAAGGCTGAATCCTTGCTGCAGCGGCCCAGGGTTCGAATCCGACCTGCGGCCCTTTGCTGCGTTTCATCTCCTCTCTCTGCCCCCCATTCCTGTCTGTCTCCAGCTGTTCTATCAAATAAAGGCATAAAAGCCACCTTCACCAGCACCTTCACTTTCCAATCCCAACTGATCAGTCCAGTGAGTGAGCACCCTCTGGAGAACAGGACCTGTATTACAGAAACAAATGGGGGGATTTTGTTTTTGTTTATTTATTTGAATTTTAGAAAAAAGTATATACTTGAGAAATCTTCAATTTAAAAATAGTGAGTTAATATAAGACAGTTACAGAGTTCCCATTATGTTTTTGTTGAGTTGTTAAGAATACTATAGGATTATGAATGTGTTGTTGTCAGGTTAAAAAAAAACTCAACAGGTTGTATAAAGAGAGAAGGAGGAGTGTCATTATTGTTTTAATAAAGTTTAATTATTAATAATTACTTAATATTTTTGTTTATTGTTGTTTTCCACTCTTTACACCATGTAGCTATTCATGTATCCGGCTCTTTCTTCCACAACAAACATACTGAAATCCCTTCTTTGCTTCTGTATGTCTTTTGTTTAGGACTTTTACCCATGACAAAAAAGCTTCTTATGTTGAAAACAATAGCAGCCCTGTGCCTCTGCTGTTCTCATTTCAAAGTGAAATGTGTGGAAACCAACCTTTTCTCAGCCGGCATGACTCTCTTCTGTCAATCACTCCTATCCAGTTACTCCAGACACGGAGTTGGGAGGAGCAGGAGCTGCATTGTGCTGGATTGAATTGCTTGAAATTTCATCTGTTTCGTCCCAAATGTACCTATAGTATAAAAGTATTTTATTTGAACTTAAGTGAAGCCTTGTCTTTCTTTTAAAAAGTTTGCCCAAATTTCCTCTTCAGTATACTTAACCAGGTTAACAGGGAACTTGTAATATTAGAATCTACATGGTGAAAGTTAAACAGATTAGTAGAAAAGGGCACAAGTATACTAAAAAATACTAAAATTCACAGTTGAAACAATGTGTCACACTGGCATATAAATGGAAATGATTTTCTACTAACATATATCAAGTCAGCAGAAGGATTAAAGAACATATTAGCAAATTATTTGATCTTTTTCAAGTTTCTCACCAATCACATGACAGACTGTGAAAGAGGAGAAATCTCACTGCACAGACATTTTAAATTAATGGACCTGGCCATTTATAAGGGTGGACCATCTTTCGTCATGTATATTTGGTCTTCCTGAAAGTTATTCTTTCTGGAATCAAAAGCTTTTCCAGACTGTGGGTGTTGCTCAGTTGCTAAACCGAGCTGTTTTTGAGGTGTGGCTGTTGATCCCTGGGTACACTCATATGATGAAACTGTGTGTCTATCACACCTATCCACCCTGGAAAATATGATTACTGTTCCACAGTTTCCTCACAGTTGTGGTAAACATAAGTAACATGCCCAATTAACATACCTACAGAGGACGTTTTTGACTGCTATAATAAAAAAACTAATGAGAAAAGAAGAAGACTGCAAGTTAAGTAAAAAGTCATCATTCAGAAAAAAAAAATATTTTTTTTATCAACTTATAATTGACATAATTTCAGGATTCATTAATTTTACAAAATTCGGTTGTCTAAGGTGATAATTGTACTCATGAACTAACAAAATTAGGAATTAAAGTTAAAGTTGACAGGTGAGTCAAGAATTTTGTCTGTTGTGAAGTATAACATGTTGTTTTGCATACAGGTGATAGTGTGATATATCTTTATTGGAAAAACATCTTAATGTCTTAAACAGCATTGCCTTATTTCACAGTAAAAGCCAAGTCAGTCTTCTTTGACCACATAAATTAGGCTACACATTTGTAACTGAGAAGTTATAGATGAAAAAAACCTACATTTATTAGATTATAAATCAAAATAGCGTTTTATCACTTTATTTACAAACACCATAGATGTAAGCAAACCTTAAACAATATCATAAAACATGAATAAGATGTTGATTTTGTATTTGTCCTGAAATACATCATATGGGAAAGCAGGTTCAAATCCTGTGATTTTATTTATTTTTTGTCCTTTAATTTAAAATCGGATTGTACCTTTAAGTTCTTGACGCATTCATGTGTATGCAACATGTTTTTGTTATACCTAACCATGAAGTTAAAGCCACTGCCTGGTTTGGTTGTTTAAAGAAAAGTAAATCACCACATTTAGTCTACCTGAAGTTACTTTCTACCTGTGGTTAGGTTTCTCTGTATGTCACAGCTGAACATTTGAGAAGTTTTAAGCGACCTAAAAGAGGAAATAAAGCAAGCTTACACATTAGGCTTTATAATAAGCAACTTGTTACTTTATAGGTTACTGTTACAAATCTCATTACAACGTGAGTTAAAATTGAAAGACGGTTATCAGCTGACGCCAAAACCAAACAACTGAAAACTAGTAGAGCAGAAACCTTTTTTTTTCCTCCCTCTCAGCTCTGACCTCTGATGTCCGTGTTACTTCCGTGTTCCGCTCACCTGTTACACCTGTATTACAGCACTGTACCGACTCCTGCTCTGCCGGGTGCACCTGTTGCCTCATTGTGCCATGAGCGAGGACTTCATAACGTGCGAGTTAACATGTTCGTCTCCATCGGCTGACCCGGAGGACGCTTTAAACGCGGTGAAAACCGGGCCGATGGATTGTAAGCAGCCTATTTTCACCGTGCTGGGCGGCGGAGGGAAGCAGCAGCAGCGGGCGGGTGACACCGCGGTGTCGAGCTCACCCGCTGCGACCACCGACACCGAGTCCGGGATCTTCTCTGGAGAGTGTGAGCTCTGCGTAAAGCATGAGTCGGAGCTGGACTGGTTCTGTGGCACCGAGCAGAAGCTCATCTGCTCCCACTGCGCCACCGTGGGCCCCTGCCACGGACACACTGTGACCCCTCTGGCCACCAGAGTAACCGCAGTCCGGGTGAGTGTGTGGAGGTGTTCATACAACTGTAGTCATATCCAACAGCTGTTGACTTCTTCTTTTGTGTTGACTGAATTGTGGTATGTTATTGATTGTTTTTAAGATAAATATAATGTTTTCTTTTCTGAGGATTCCTGCAGGATAGGTAGGTTTCACTTTATGTGAAAGAGATTGCCTTCTAACTTCTTTATTTTGCCTATATTTCACTTTTGGTACTTTTCTACTTGAAAAGTTTATTTTTATGAGAAGAAATGTGGATTTTTCCCTATTTCAACTGGTTTCTTTGTTGAGGATGGTAGCTGATAATGTGTGAAAAAATGTGTTAATGTATTTGAAGTGTAATATGTGTACTTCATCATTCTTTCTTGGGTGTGTCACATTTTGCAAGTAGTTTTTTCTCGCTGATTCCTTTGCGTGGTATTTGAAAAGACAGGATTTTCTTGTTAAGTCTCCAGCTGATGATGTTCAGGTGTTTTGATGGGCTTCTAAAAACCGCAGTGTGTGTGTGTGTCTGTGTGTCTGTGTCTTGTCACCAGAACCAACTGGTGGATGTGTGTGAGAAAATACAGCTGCAGGCACTGAGGATTGAGAGGTTTATCGACCAGACACTGACAGCCAAAGAACAAAAGCTTCAGGTGAGAAATGCCACTGATCCCCACCCACTCAACCACACTCTAATAACGACACAGAGGCAGTACCAGCTTTAATACTAATACACTCAGTGGAGCCTACAAGTACGATCTGACATTGGCTTGAAACAGTCACATGTGCCTTGCAGACATGTGTTGGGTTTGTGTATGTGGATACTGACCCCTATAATAAGTAGTAAATAATAAGTATAATAAGGGCAATATACATATATATAAGGGTAAAATGTGTGATAGAACAGCATTATATAAAGCCCTGGCCAACAAATCTGTTCTCCAGATTTAAGAAAACATGTTGATACAGACTCCAACACATTTCACATTGTCATGATTTTAATCTTTTTTCCAATAATAATTACATTTGTGATGTAATGATGATAAGCAATATTCGTGAATCATATCGCAATATCTGTGTCGCAATAATGTTTTTACCATATTGTGCAGCCCAAATAATGTTTTATTCCCATTGATTAAACAATTAATCTATCAACTGTTTCTTCAATTATATTCAGAACATAGAAGGAAAACAGTCATCACAATTCACTAGATCCCAAAGAGACGTATTACTCAATGAAATAAAACGGAGAAAAGTGGAAAATCTGTACGTTTGAGAAGCTGGAACCAGTGAATGTTTGGCATTTTTTGCCTGATAAATAACTTGATTGAGTGACTAGTTATGGACTAATCGCCTCAGCACGTCTTTGAAGCAGTTAATGTCACATAAACAAGGAGAGGAAAAGAAATGGTGTATGGAAAAAAAAAACAATCTCATATGTTAATTCATACAGATACTTACACACGTATGCTAACATACTTAAAATGCATGGAATATCAGTTAATTTCAGCTTTCTTAGCTGATGTTATTGCCTCTTTTCGTTCACTTACCGGTAATGACAGCTAAGCGATTTAAGATCTTTTTATTCAAAACAAAAGTTTAATGCAATATTTTGCTGTTGAAAATGCATGAATAAGAAAGAAACTAGTTAAGTACACCTTGAAATAGAGGTTGTGTTTGCTGATTCAGTGCATTTATCACCACCATGCAACAAAGCAAAGGTTGCCTCTTTCAGTGGACCCGTATTTATTAACCTCCCTGAACACAGTGGGTGTCTAAAGTGGTCCGAGTTATGGTCATGCATGAGTAGTTTTCTAGGTAACAGGTTACTACGAGCAAATCAAACCTCAAGTAAACAACAGATACAGGAAAGACAAACTGTAGATACCTTATCACTAAACCAGTATGTGTTTCTCTACCAATGTATATGTTTGTTTACGATCAGGTGTGGGAAGTTAATTGTATCAAATGTTATTAACATCCTCGGGCACCCACCATCAAGTGTTTGTTTGAAGCTTATGAGCAACAGATACTTGGGCAGTGGCGCTATTTGACCGACATGTTCCCTAATGTAAGATTTATTTTGAAAGAAGAAAGAAATAGTATATCATATTCATAGTAGAGGAGTGGGTCCTCTTCTACGGATGCTGCCATGTTGAACCGCCATATTTCTACAGGACAGACACTCAACTCCAGATAGGGGCTTTAGTGTGTGTAGTTTCTCTTATATGCTTGGAGTGGGAGGGTGAGGTGAGGGAGTTGTAATCTGCAACCACACCGCTATTTATGTCAGTAAATTCTACGCACTCGACCTTTAAGAAAATGCAACATTTTTTGACCATGTTGGGGCAGAAGAACGTTGTGAATGCAACATTGATACTGATTATCAGCTTTTAAACTTATATGATAAACTTGTTGGTAAACAGTTGCTTATTTACATGTCCAGCAGTTACAGAGCAGGTATTACACTGAAATCAGCTGTCTGCTGTGGCCAAAAATGACATTATAAGAGTTATGAGAGCAAACCAAAAGAGTAAGTGCGAGTCAGACTGTTAAACAATGAGTATAAACTCGCTAGAAGTGATAATTCTCAACACTATCAGCAACCCATTTAACATTTTTATATTTTATTTTATTATAAAAATATTGGTCATAGCCGCTTTAAGAGCCATTGTGTCTTATTTTCTAGAGGGTAGAAGGTAATCACAGGTTCTAATAGAAATAAATGAAGTGCAGGAGTTGATTGAGGATAAAACTTATGTGAGATGTTGTCAAATGCCTTGCTGTGACTTCCCCACTATTCAGAAATCAGCTTTTGTTTTGTTTTTTTGTGCTAAAACAACACAGCAGACAGCAAAATCACAACTGTTACTAATAACATTAACAATAGCTTTGTTCTTGTCCCAGTAAGCTGTGACAGTGAGACAGCGTGAACAATACCAGGACTCTAAAACAAGCAGCTATATCAGCCATTTTATTATTTACACCTGTGCTTTTATTGCCGTCGAAATGTCTTTGCTAAAAAGGACAATAGTCAATTAATCAATAAGTTAGTTAATAGTCTACAATCCTGATGATTGCAGTACTTCTCAAGTAACAGAAATGCTAATCATTCATTGGTATAGGCTTCTGAAATATGATGATTTACCTGTTTTTCTGGTCGTAAATTGAACCTCTATTGGTTGACAAAACAAGCAATTTTAAGAAGGAATGGGTAATATGGATACAGTCCTTATCACAGTATGTGCAGTACTGTAATTAATTTAGATTAATAATAATAATTAATAACTCTTCCAAACACCACCCGTCTCTCCTCTTTTCCTGGTGCAGACAGCGGCGAGCAGGGCGAGGGAGCAGGTCCTGGCTCAGGTCAGCGCAGCACGTGAAGCCCTGGAGGAGGAGGAGCAGCGTCTCTTGGAGGGGGTGCAGAGAGAGGAGGAGCGGGTGGAGCAGTGTCTCCTCACCCAGAGAGCCCACTGGAGCCAGGCTTTGGCGAGTCTGTCACAAACACGCTCCGGCCTAGTGCACACACTGACGCACACTCCAGACACGCAGCTGGCGGTGAGAGACTGGGAGATATTTGTCAGGAAGGGAGAGTTTAGGGATCACTAAGATCATTGTGAGAAGAGCTATAAAGAATAGAGGAACTCAAATAATAGTATCCAGATAACGGTCATAAATGACTAAAATACACTTTCTTCCTCTCTCGTCTTTCAGACTAGTGTCCAGGAGATAGCTGAAAGGTAATCGTCTATCACATGACATGCTTGTGAATATATTCTTTCTTGCTCAGGAAGTCCCAGATGTGTAATATCTCTTCTCCTCTTGCTGTTTGTGTGTGCGTGTTTGCATCAGGATTGAGGAAGCAGAGGGGGTCGGGGAGCCCTGTGACACAGACCAGCTCAACCTGAACCCAGGCTGCAGTGACAGCAAGCTGCTCAGAGGTCTGTGGGCCACTGCAGTACTGCTGGGGCCGAATGGTTAGTAGATGTTTATTCAATCTTACTTACACTGATGGTGGTAATTAGCAGTTATAGGCCTTTTACTTGGATAGACAGAGGGAGTCTGAAGGAGAGCTTATTTTGTACAGGATGAATACTTGTATGTGATAACAATAGCTAATATATGCTCCCAACAGCAGATGTGGGAAGTAACAAAGTACAAATACTTAGTACTTTCGTCGTCGTCGTTTTTTCAGGTATCTGTACTTTACTTAACTTTTTGCTTTTAAACCCTACGTTTCTACACAAATATCTGTACTTTCTACTACGTAAACAGGCCAATCACTTTAGCTTTAATGCATTAGAGGCCAATTATTGATTTTTCTCCCCCTTTTTTGCATCATTGCACATGTTCCCAACATCAAAAGCGTATCACGCATGACAGATGTAACATGATGAAACGGACCACAGGGAGACTCGACCCTATTTGAAGTTTTAGTTTGATTTGCACAGAACATGCAGGTAGAAATTTCCTTCTGAGAAACCAAGAGAATATTTTTATACTTTGATTTATTTTTAAAGGCTGCCTTTCACTTTTTACTTGAGTAGTTGAATTATGTCTGTGCTATTGAAATGATGTGTGTATTTCTGCCAGCTCTGCCAAACAGAAACTTTTCAATGAGAAAACTGAATCTGTCTTTTTGTGACCTCCATCCAGTTCATCACTGAAGTAAAAGGATCAATATAAATGTACTGTAAGGTAGTTAAAAGTTAAGGTGGCCCAGTTAGTCTCAGTGGCGGAAGCTGTACGGAGTTGGGCTGCATGCGCCTGGGTTCGAGTCCGACGCTGCGGCCCTTTGCTGCGTTCATCCCTCTGCTCTCTGCCCACCTTTCCTGTCTGTCTTCGGTTGACTCTATCCAGTAAAGGCAATAAAAGGCCAAGAAAATAACAAAGGAGAAAAAAAAGTATTAAAAGTAAAAGCCCATATTATGCAGAATGGTTCCTCTCAGTCTTAGAGTACTAGAGTAACTATTTCAATTAATAACAACACATCGTATGTTATAAGTGAATATATGATAAATGTTTTGTATGTAAAATATTAATCAGAAAATGAACTACTGCATAGCTGTTGCATGATAATAGTGGAGTAAAAAGTAACTGAAACAAAACTACACTGCATACATCAATAGAAGTATAAATATCTCAAAATTGTACATGCACTACATTTTTATCCTGATGGTTTTTGTGTTACTGTTTTAACTAATGGAAGGGAGCAGAGGTTTAGATTAATCTAAACATGGGAGGAAAAGGAAGAAAATCAAACAATAGGAGGGTCACTCATGAAAATCTAAAAGGTGGACAAACGTCATAATGTAATTAGGGTGGCAGGAAGTGACCAGCTCAGTGGCCCACCCTCACTCTGACATCCTTGTGTGTGGCAACGAGCTGTGACAGTGGGGGTTGATTTACAGTAATGAAATGTAACATGTTTCTAGAAATGCATCAGTTTGCGACATTCAACCCATCTTTGTCCTCTTCCCACAGCTCAGAGATCATCTTATTTAAAGTTTGACGAGCGCACAGTGAGCCCTCTCCTGTCCCTGTCTGACGACTTCTGCACTTTGACCTTCGTAAACAAAAAATCTCGCCAATCACCCCGCTACGACCCAGCACGATTCGACTGTTGGCCCAACGCACTGGGTTCAGTGTCTGTGTCCTCCGGCACTCACAGCTGGATGGTGGATGTCGGCCAGAGTGCTGCCTTCAAGGTCGGGGTCTGCTACACCTCTCTGGAGCGCAAAGGTTCTGGGAACGAGGCCCGGCTGGGCTACAACAGTCAGTCTTGGGTGCTGTCTCACTACGACGGGGACTACTCCTTCTTCCACGCAGGGAAGAAGGTTCCCCTGCAGGTTGTGAGGAGACCCCAGAGGATCGGCCTGCTGTTGGACTGGCCGACTCAGACGCTGCTGTTTTACGAGCCGGACTCCAGTGTCGTGCTGTATTCTGTCACACATCCCTTCAGCGTCCCGCTGCTGCTGGCGTGTGCGGTGACTGACCGCAGTATCACCATACTGCACTGACACAACACCCACACTACAAAAAAACTAAATTACCTTAAACATGTGAAGAAATGTCAGAAGATGACTTTCTCTAATGTAAATATAAATCAGCAGCTAAAGATCCTCTATCTGTGCAATTATGACAGGCCTCACTTTGTATTTATTCTATTTTATTGTCTATTAGTAGCTGCTGATTCTTTTTTTTACTGTTTTTAATAATTTAATAGATTTCTTCATCTGCTGATCATATTACACAGTATTTGCTGACTGATGATTGTTTTTTGCTGTGGTCTGTTTTTAATATGATTGTTTTTATCATCAGTTTCATCCCTGTAATGAGGCCTCAGCAAGAGTCTTCATAGAAAATGTTCATTATAGTGGTTCATTCAGGACTATTTTAAATGTGTGGCAAACAAACTCACTACAAATAATTTTACTCAGTAAACCACTTATTTTGTAAGTTGTGTAAGGTTTCATTTTGTAATTATATGTTGTTATATGTTATATGTTGTCAGAGCTGAAAAGCCCTGAGTTTGTCCCTTTTGTCCCAAATGTGTTTTTTTTATCATATACCAAAGGAGAAACAGAAAAGGATGACAGCTATTTAAAACAGAAACACTGTACAGGTCAGCATAGTCAATAAAGAAAAGGCATAAAAACACATTGTTATCTGCAGGCACATTTGAGTCAGTTATCACAGTATCACAACCACTAACATACTGTAGTTGGGCCTAAGCATCTCACAGAGCCTACTTCATATAAAAGCTCTAGTCTAAACGGCAGATATATTCACTTTTAATTATTCAAGACAGGGTTTCCATATTTGGGTAAAATGAGCTGTATTGGAGTGTATCAGACAAGTCTAGCAGAATATGCTCCATAATTATCTTCTAAACCAACCAGAGATCGTGGGGGGCCTTACAGGAAATGCACTGCACCATTTCCTTCCACGGACGGTAAACAGTTTCCTATGATTTATGTGCAAGACCAAGGACAAGCGATAGAGTTTGTCCTTTTTACGCCACGGCAAGGTTTCGTTTTGTGTGCACTTGGCAATTTAAGTCAACTCACTATAATACCAGTTGTCCTGTAGGGACTAACAATAATCGATCTTGCTCAGTTTTGTGATAGACTCTGCAAGTTAAATGCTGCTTCCTATTTTCATTGGAAGAACCTTTTGGAAAGAGCATAAAGGTTAGTTTAACTTTTAAATTTGATGTCTGAGTCTACAAAACCACTAGTTCTGTAATTTATATCTCTCAAAGGACTTGCAACAGCATCTCTAGTATCTGCCCCCTTTACAATTTAGGCGTGTATGTGAACGCCTCTAATTCTAATGACCACTAGATGGCAGCAAAGTCAAATGAAGACTTCACACAGCCAACTTCACAAACATCATGAGTCATGAAACTGTGCGGTTTTGATGATTCATGATGATGAACATTTTACTCCAGGACCTCGGACAGCTACAGGTACTGACTACAATCAGACTAAAACTTAAAGCTGAGCACATTTATGCTTCCTGCTGAATGAATGAACGTGAATTGAACATTTTAGCTTTGTGAGAGAGTAGTGAGAGACACAGACACTCATGTTTAAAACTCAGATTAGGATTAAGGAACAAGTGTGGAGTGACCTGCAATACCATGTTCCTCTGATACCAGACCCAGAGGAAGGAAGCAGCCAGTGAGACCAGCAGCTTTGGGGGACGTGCCTGAGCTATCCCAGTATGTAGTAATCCCAGATACTGGTAGATTTGTGTAACAGTGTAACAGCCCTTTCATGCCTGCCACGCTATTTCAACAGACAAACCGTTGAAACATCTTACTATAAAAGCCATTCAGATTTCAGTTATTTTAGGCTTGGTTGAACAGGTCCCAACCTCTCTATTACTAACTATTTTGGGGCCAACTGCGCATAAAGAGAAATTTGAAATTAATTTGCATTTTAACTGGAAGAACTGAATCCCAGAAATTGGCAAGAAATGTATAGATACGATGTACAACAATAAAAAGCTGATAGTGAGAGATGACAGCAGGTTTTTAGTCCTTGATTTGGAGTTAAACACATTATTATAGAGGTCAATATTGCGAGTAAAATCGTGGGTTACCTTTATGCATCGTGTCCAAAACAAAATGTGGACTAAATGCATGATGTGACAGCTGTACAAACATTTAACAGAATGGTTTAGCAAAAATATGTTCTCTTTATGTTTTCTGAGCTGTGAAATTGACCACGTTTAAAAAAATAACCTCATGATAACCTTGAAATCGTTTCTCACCAGGAAAATGCTTTTAACTATAAAAAGTTTATAGGTTATTTTGGACACCGGATTAGTTAATCTCGTACACCTGCCAAGCAGCGCACACAGTTTGACTTGTCGTTACTACTCTATAAAAGTCGTTATTACTCTATAAAGGAGCCATTTATTTATACATTCATATAGTAGGTGATAAAACAGTGAGTCAAAAATAACTGAAGCAGCTGCACTGTTTTTTTAACACGTGCTCCTTTCCCACACATAGGTGTTAGTATCGTGCACCTGCAGTTGTGTCATTTCTCAATAATTTCACAGATGTATTAAAGAAGAAAATTAGTCACAAAAATACCAATTTAACAACTGATTAAATGTCTCGTTCGTGTATAGGCAAGTATTTAATAACGGATATAATTCAGTTTTTTTAATTTATTTTTGTCCGTGATACAAATACACACTTTCTGTCACATTCTCAACAACAGAACATGACCCCTAGAACTGGCTACCTGCTGTCTCGTAGCATCGTTTCTTGAACACTTCATCTGTTGAAATGACTTAGTTTCACATTTCAGAGAAAAGGTTGACTAAACATGAAGAACAATACATTCAGGGTGTAAGAATGGACAAGTCAGAGTTTGCCAAGTGTGAAAATTCCCCATTTCCTCAGTCATCAATAACATCCTTCTCATACAGAAACTCCACAGTATGACACTATACTGTATTTCTGATTTGTCCGCTATTAAAAGTCTTTTGTCCTGTGATTCCTGAATTGTTCATCTCTTTTTTCCGTCTTCCTCAGGTGCTCCTCTTATTGGCAGCACTGAGTATGACAGGAGGCGGCTCTATGTTGAGCTCTTGTCGGAGGTCTTCGAGGTTCTGCTCCCATCGTCTCTCGTAGAAGATGCTGAGGATGCAGCGGGACCGCCGACCGTTCTGCAGAGCCCAAGGACCCAAGGAAGTGAACAGTGACTGTAAACGGCTAGGAGAAGGTGACAGAAGGAAGGAAACATTTGAGCGTGATACAACAATAAAGAGATATTGTTTTTTTTATTTCTTATAAACGGCCACAGCCCAGTTCCTCAAACAATCACAGGGAAGTTTTGTCAAGTTATTGAATAAGGAAGGATTAATAATTTACAGAAATGGGTTACAGGCATTTGTTCATTATAACCGTAACAATGATATATAGTTGTCAAACTGTTTCCTCTTATCTCTCTGTGGTACCACACAATAGAGCTGGATAAAAGCCTAATGAATGCAATCTGTTAATAATTTCTTCCTGATACAAAATTTGTCAGACTAGCTTGTTTTGCAGGGCTAATGCTTTTTAATCTTAATTTGTTACGTACAGATATAATGTGGAAACTTGTAGCCCAAAAGGCGAAATTCAGAACTGAAATTATTAGGCGATTAAGCGAATACTTTTTTTACTACCTGCGATTATACTATGATGCACTATAGATAATGCTAAGTTTCTTGGTGGTCCAGTACTGTGCTGTGGTAAAAACACTGTACCTCGAATTCAGCCGAAGTGGCCCCAACACAGCTCCAAGAGCACACATGGGGAGGCCAGTCTGAGCAGCTTCAAACCACTTCACTGCCACCTCACCTGAAAGCAGCAGGAAGGGACAGAGGCATTACTGAAGGTGGGAAAACTCAAGGGACAAGATGAAAAAAAGAGGGAAAACCAGAAGTCTCTCAACAGTCGTGTGTCGAGACAAACGTCTGTTGTGAAATCCTCATTGCAAAACCCGATTCTTTCCTCTTTCTTACAAGGTTTTGTCGAGTTTTTATCTGAGAATCACTCCACTAGTTATGTTGTCAGCAAAACAGATAGCGTAGCTCAACAATGTGGTGGAAAAGGCTCTGAAAAGCAGGAAATGTGTAAAGACAACCGGAAAGGAAAACATGGAAGCAACACAATTAAGTTCTCCTGAGAATTTCATTGTTCTGTCAGCAGTCAACTGTTTCTGCTGCAGGTGTTCCCTTTAGCTTCATTTGTCTGCCATGCACACACAAATTCTTGCTTAGCCACATCATGAACTATTGATTGTACTATTAGCCAGAATCACTGCTCCATAATTGTATGCCTCCACCAACCAATCAAGTTGCAGTTGACATCCACAAGTGGTGAATACTTGGAAGTAATTGAATAAAAAAGGTATAAAGTGTATTTTTTTGGCTTAATGGAATTTATCACTATATTGCTGATACACATGTATGATTCCAGTGAATATAAATTTAATTATTGACTGATTTTTGATTATTATATAAAGATGAATTCTTACACTATACAAAATGTGTACCTTTAGTTTTCTTCTTCTCACAGGATGACCATTCGCGTCATGTGCACAAATACGTTACATTTGGTCATAATTACCGCATCAATTCTTAAGCTATGACTAAAATAGTGTTTGTCAAGGTCATTTTGTTGTCACCTTTGAGTCACCAATTCATTGTCCAACCAAATGTGAAATATGGTCCTCAATTTTTGAGTCATAGCCAAAAAGGTGTTTTGTGAAGTGACAGTGACCTTGACGTTTGACCACCAAAATCTAAATCATTGTTGAGTCCAAGTGGACGTTTGTGCCAAATTTGAAGGAATTCCATCGAGGCGTTCCTGAGTTATCGGGTTCACAGGAATGGCTGCTTGGCTATCGAGCTCCAATAAATGATTTGACTTTGTAGATCCCAGATTTGTGCAGGACAGTGGTCTGAAGGGTAATCACTGACCATGACTCACCCAGCATGTTGGTCGGCATGCCCAGCAACGTGTGCAGCAAATCGTGCACCTCTCTGTATCTCTGCATGACGTAAGCTAGCTCCTCATTGTCGACAAACTTCACGTCTGCCCTTGAGTCCGGGGTCACATGCTGACAGATAAGGAAAGGGAATGCATGACTAAAGATGAAAGAGAAACGTAAAAAGGGGAGCACTCTGGGGAAATGTGTCTGATGAAATCTGGAACCCAAGCCTGTAAGTATGTGTCTTTGAATGGAGAATTACAACACATCAGTGATCACTCACATTGTCCTCCAGAAAACGGAGGTATTCTCTCCCAAAAGAGCCATCAGGCAGTGACGCCATCTTGCTCAGATCAAGCGTAGACAGCCGGATTCTGGGCCTTTCTCTGCAATAACCAGTAAATAACAAGTAAGACCAAATCATCTTTCACAGTTGAGAAAGTGCTATTTATAAGCGCCTACATTCTAATACTAGTTACTAAATTGTGTTACAGTGACTCACGTTAGGATAGTGTAGCCTTCAGGATCATTTTTCATCCTGTCCCTGAGATTTATCAACGCTAGGTGTCCTGTCGTCTCCCCGAGCACTGCAACCATGTCTGTAAGTAGAGTTTAATGTAATTAAATGTACTGCTAAACCTATAAACTAATTATTAATTGCTCCAAAATAACGTACATTTCAACTTATATATACACTACTATATATTTTATGGCTTGTCAAATTTGTGCCTGTCGTCTTATGCGTAATGTAGCTTAAATGTACTTACATACTCGATTTAAAGGGGAACCCTTTTTCTACACAAGGGTCAGTTTAGTTCTGTGGTTCCCAACCTGGGGGCCGGGACCACCACTAGGGGTCGCTTAGACTTCACGAGGGGTCACAAGACCTTCTTGATTTTAAGGGATGTAAACTTAAGAAATATACACAGTATACATAAATCTCAGCATTTCGCTTAAAGTTGTTAGTTTTAAAATTCAGATTATTATTTAAGATTTAAACTTTGAAGATGAACTCAAGATATATTCACAGAGCCTTCGCTCTCTGCTAAACAACCTTGTCCTGCGTTGGCCAAGCATCAGGGAGAAGAAAGCACTAAATTTGTCAAAAAATATGCCTGTTAAGTGTGTATAAATTCAAAATTCAACAATACAGAAAGATAATTTTATAATAAGTTCCCTAAAAGTATCAGGAAAACTTATCTCTGATGGATCTCTGAAACAAACTGCTCAAAATGAATCCAAATCGTTTGTTTTACACAAACTTCCTGCAGTTATTAGGTTCTTTATTTGGGTTAAAAGTATAGTTTATAAGTTGTTCTGTACTGTTATGAATAGGTTATATTAAATATCCATAGAAAATAACAGTCAGGGGTCATCAGTTTACTCAATGATATAAAAAGGGCTTCCTCAAGAAAAAAGGTTGGAAACCAGATTTAATCATCACAGGGAATTATTCTCGGCCTGGGAAAACAGCTGTTCAATCTCTTATGTGGCTCTGAGGGAAATTTTTCAAGTCTGAGAAAATGTCTGAAAATGTCATGGTTTGGTGATCTCATCAGTTATCTCGGTTTGGGTTTGGAAACAAGAATTCCTTAACAGGAAACCTGCATTACCAGCATCTGGAGAAATGACTTGGGCAGGAAGAGACAACGTTCAATTCAATGATGTTACTGTATTGTCATTGTGTTATAAGGAGCCATCCTTTAAAGACACCTGCAGTCTCTAAACTAAAAGTCACATGACAGTTGGGGCTCTCTTCCTCCCTGAGAGTTTCACCGTATTTGTTCTCATTTTCTGTTTCTAAGACTTTTAAGTGTATATGGTAACAAAGGTCTCCAGAGAATACAAGCTTTATCTACTAATAAAACTAGTACTGAAACTGTCCTTTAATAGTACTAGAGAAAAGAACCTCAGGTACAGTCCCCCACAGTATCATTCGACTGAAAAATGATAAACAGGATGACATGTTCTTTCAAGTTGTGATAATATGAACTTCTGGAGGCTTGTTGATACAGACAGAGCATATCCTGTGCTGGTTTGTTCATAAAAACAAAATACAATGTAATAAAAATACATATAAAAGATGGATTATTGCTCAAAACTGCAATAAGACCACCAAGTTTCTGTCTCATAACGTAGTCATGAAAGATACGTTTTATTATTCAGTTGGAATTTATTGCTAGAGAGGTCTGACACAATTAAATCCCACAGCAAATCAATGTACAAACCAAATAACAGAGTAACCTATCCAGGTCTGAAATAGTTATAAAGCAATTTGGTTGTATCGAGCCTGAAAGTTCATTTCTGACCTCGGGAATATCAGATTGACCAAATATTCTTATCAAGAAGAAAAAGAATTTACTTTATGAATCCACAATCTTTTTTTTTTCCACACACAGACCTGAAATACAATCTCACACACACACACACACACACACACACACACACAGACAGACAGACAGGGCTTATAGACATGATGGGAGCAGTTAGGGGTTCAGTGCTTTGCTTAAAAGCACCTCTGCAGTGCCCAGGACGAGAACTGGCACCACTCCAGCTACCAGTCCACACTC